TTAATTTTCCTGACTCTTTTGAAATTAGTCCAGCAAGTAGGAACTGCTGCAGCAACACTCTGGTAATGCTAGAAATCCAGAATAGGAATAGTCCATGATGCAATTCTTCCTTAAAAGGCATTGTTCCAGTTACTGGGGGAGATGATGGCTTGCCTGATCACCTGCAGGACAACTCATGGTTGCACTCATGGCCTGTTATGTGTGTACCTAAGTAGTGTGTGAACAAGTTATTAGATCCAGCTTTTACTTACTTTATTTTTTTAAACTTATTTTTTTATTAAAGATTTCTTGGTTTACAGAAGTACGTGCAATGTCTCTTTTTTTCAAGTTACATTTTCTACAGATCAGTTTCATTTGCTGAGACATTGGTGTTACATTAGGAAGTATTTTACTTAAAGTATGTGTGGGGTTTTGTGTCAGTGTCACTTGTGCGGGTTCTCTTTACTATTCGCTTGTGTTCCTTTGGTGGTGAGAGAGGTTGGGGTCGGCCTAGGGTGTGGTTGTTTGTTTGCGATTGGCTGTGGTGAACTTTGTTTTCATGTGTGAGTGGGGTGGGTGGGTGTTTTGGATCAGGTTAGCCATATTGATTTGTATGCTGTTGGTGGATTCTTGTCATTGTCTTGTTGGGCTGTGTATGTGATAAAGGGAAGGCCTCTTCTTCCATTTGTCCCCATGTCAGTTTCAGTTTATTGGTTTGTTTTTTCTAATAATGCTGTTTCCCATACTATTTGGTACCATTGGTCCATGCTTACTCCTGACAGGTCTCTCCAGTGTCTGGCTATGATGTTTCTGGCTGCTGAGAGTAGGTGGGTTATGAGCTCTTTATGATGTGAGTAGATTTTCCAGTAGTTCTCAGGGCTTACAACAGAGTATGTGTAGTTCTCTACATAACATGATATTGACTATCCATACGCTTAATTCTATAATTCGGGAGTTACCATCATGTCACGATTACATCCTTGAAATCTCCCCCTGGCACCCTATGAAGTCTCTGAGCCTCCACCTCACTTCCCTGTTGCTCATGAAGTGGTAAGGGTTGCTACCCTTTTCTCCCCTGAAAAGTACACAGAAACAAAGGGGAAAGCCAATTCCCATTCATTTTTCAAGGCTCAGATTATTTCTTCTGAATTATGTGCCCATGCAGGCATACTTTCTGTTTCTGGGACTACTTTAGGGAAGGGAGGAGTGGAGTGGCCAGAAAGGGTGGTGCTGACGGCACTCACTCAAAAATTCAAATGTGCCCATAGGTTTAAAAAGGTAGACTCTCATTTACCTAAGATGCCACAACATTCTGTCTTCCAGGTGTCTACAACTCTACATCACAGGTCTGATTTTCGTCTTAAATTGGAGGGTAATGCTTAGGACACAGTTTTCACTAGAAAATCATTTTGGATTGTATTCCGCTTCTAAGTTTTTTTGAAGGGCATAATATTTTCTGATGAATGCATGTGTCGTGGATACCACTGATCCATTTTTATTCTGCGGAAAGGAAGTTCCCAACCATTTAGAATTTATTTTGGGGGGGAAGCCATTAGAATCATTTTTTCTATAAGTTTTTATAGCACCATCAGTGTACATGGCACTTTCGAGAAAAACATCACGGCCATCCCCACAAAAACCAGCTCTGATGAGCTAACAAATTTCAACTGTAGGAAAGAAATCATAGAAGGAAATGAGAGATTAAGGCTGGTCTCTAAGGGGACAAGCCATAGCCTTCATAGAAGAGGAAAGGTTTTGTTGTGAAGGCAATTGAAGGAAGAGAGAAAAATTGCTCCAAGTAAGTGTTCTGGAAGAGAGCACTGGGAAAAGGAAGGGATAGCATGCAGGAGGCTTGAGGACAATAAAGAGTAGTAGAACTGGAACACGGTGGGCAGTCATGGAAAAAGTAATCTTCCACTAGTGAATTGGTTGCTGTCACGTCATCACTTGGCTGATCTCGCCATGGTTTTGTACAAATTCTACTCACTTTGTATTCCTGCACAGTTCCTTCTCCATTCCAAGGAAAGCTGCCCCTTCATATTATCAAGAGAAGGAAAAGCAGTGTCTTGACTAATCATCTAAAATTAACTACATAGTGCGGAGCTGTCTCTTTAATGTAGCAAACGAAGGCATAATGAGATCTGCTGTTGGAACTAGACAAATTTCAAACTGGAACAGGCCACACATTATTCATGGTGAGGGCTATTAGTCATTCGAGCAACGTATCTTGGGACCTGATGATGGTTGAGAAATGAGTAATCAATGGATCTTAGGCCTAATTCTCAATGAGGTAGTAAACCTGTATCTATGCTGCGCAACTTCCGTTTGCAGGTGGCGGCTGGCAGGAATGAATGCTCTTCCATGCAAAATAATTCCCCACATATGTCAGCTAGAATGCCAAAGGCCAGGATTCTCATCTAACCTTTCTTTTGGCATGCAAGCTTTTTCTGTGTAGGTTTTTATTTTTATTTTGTATGGAGAAGCATTGAACTTGCAGGTAGTACAATCTGAGGGTAGTGCAGCCAAAAGATGGCTGGGTGAGAACTAGGCCACATTTTAAAAACTTTGTTCTGGATTATCTAGAAACGATGGGACTCCTTTGATGAGAACAGAAAGTGTCATGGGTGAATTGGCTCATAGGGACACAGGACATTTTCTGCAGAGCATATTAGGGCCATTTGACTTCGGGAGGATATGTTTGTGCCACTCCCTTTGCTCCAGCAATTTTTTTTTGGCGGGGGGGGGGTAAAATTTATACCCTGCCCTTCAGTTCTAATTAGCATTTCCAGGAGAGCTTACAACAAGCAATGCAAAATTTCCAAGAATATAATGCAGCAGATGAGTTAATTTTAGATGGTTAATAAAAACACTGCTTTTCCTTCTCTTGATTAACTGAAGGGACATAATCAAATCAATAACTTTAACAAGGGTTAAAAGGAAATCTTGTCCCAGTTCAGTCATTCCCCCTACCACCACCCCCGCCGATAATCTGGGGTACCATGTAAATGACAGTGATGTTGTGGCATTTAGTGTTCTTGTCAGAGAAGCATTAGGGTTGCTGCTTCTTTTTTGTCCTGATCAGTGGGTGCCAAGCTGTAACTGTGACTCATGCTTTCCTTTCTGGCTCAGGACATGTGGTCAGGGCCTGCAGAGCACACGCTGCAAAAGGCACTCTATTTGTAGAAAATATAAAGCACAAGGAGCTGAAAGCATGCATGCAAAGACAATTAACATTTTAGTTTACCTGTTTAAAAACACGATGACACTATGGCTGAGAACAGGCATGCAGCAGAATGAAGTAGTGTAGCCTTGAGCTGATAGAATTGACTGCAGATCAGGAGTACCATTTTTTAATGCTCTCATGTAAACATTATTATTATTATTATTTTAAAAAACATTCCTTCAAATAGAAAATCAACACATCAGGGAGTTTACATACTGATTTTCTCCCTGCTGTGCTAGTTACCTGCTTGCAGAAAGTTATTTTTACTTGAATTTGTACTTAGAGAAGCATCTACCGTAAATAATCCCTCACCTGCAGTTTGAAACCCTCTTTTCCACTTCCAAATTCTGCTGCCTTCTTCTGCGGCATCTGCCTCTAGTCTTAGATGCCATGCTGTATCCTCAGAGCAGGCTAACCTTCCAATGGATGCTCACAACCTGATTTTGCATGTTCACAATTCCATTCCATTCTGATATCTCCTGAGAGTGCGTTTCAGGTTGTTTCGCTCTACCACACCTGATCCAGTTTCTCTACACTTCAAGCTCTTCTTGCCTTTATTTTTGAGAAAAGCGTGCTCATGGAGTAATGGATTTTTGTTTGCAGCTGGTGATGTTTGTGTGGATATTAGGAATATAGGAAGCTGGTTTTTTTATCAAGTCAGCCTCTTTGGTCCACCTGTATTGTTTACAATGACTGGCTGTCCAGGTTTTTGGACATAGTCTTGTCCCATCTCTACCTGGATGTGCCGGGAACTGAATCAAAGCTGCATTCTCTGTCACTGAGCTACAGACTCCCCCTAAAAGATTCTACAGGCTGCCAAGTTTACTGAGAGTTAGGCAGGTGGCCAATTAATAACAATAATAGAATGGTAGTGTTGGAATACTACAATGCTACCTGCAATAAATGGGACGCGGGTGGCGCTGTGGGTAAAACCTCAGCGCCTAGGACTTGCCGATCGCATGGTCGGTGGTTTGAATCCCCGCAGCGGGGTGCGCTCCCGTCGTTCGGTCCCAGCGCCTGCCAACCTAGCAGTTCGAAAGCACCCCCGGGTGCAAGTAGATAAATAGGGACCGCTTACCAGCGGGAAGGTAAACGGCATTCCGTGTGCTGTGCTGGCTCGCCAGATGCAGCTTGTCACGCTGGCCACATGATCCGGAAGTGTCTTTGGACGGCGCCGGCTCACGGCCTATAGAGTGAGATGAGCGCACAACCCTAGAGTCTGTCAAGACTGGCCCATACGGGCAGGGGTACCTTTACCTTTACCTTTTACCTGCAGTAAAGGAATATCTTCTTTCTTTGGCGATCACTTGTAGCCGAGTAAGATTGTCTTCCATAAACACGGTTTTAACAACGAGTCCATAAGTGATTGTGGAGGCTGATACTGGATCCACACATCCTTTCACAGTGGGGACATTGTTTTCTGGGCGGGAGTTGTATCACGGTGTAGATTTGCCAAGTGTGCCTTCCTCTTAGCACGTTTCTCCCTTGCGTCCTGAGTTTGAGTGTCTTCAAAGCCCATGACACCTTTGGTAAAGGCTGTTCTCCAACTGGAGCGCTCGCAGGCCAGTGTTTCCCAGTTGTCGGTGTTTATACTACATTTTTTTTAGATTTGCCTTGAGACAGTCTTTAAACCTCTTTTATTGACCACCAGCATTACGCTTTCCATTTTAAAGTTCGGAATAGAGTAGTTCCTTTGGAAGACGATCCCACTTGCTGGATCATTACGTTGTCGTGGTGAGTGGGCTTGCATGTTCCTATGACCCTTGTGTGCGAAAGGAATATGCAAGGAATATTCAACTGCCCCATACAGGGATCGAACCTGCAACTTTGGGGTTATCAGCACCACACTCTAACCAACTGGTGCTGCGATGCATTCTAGCCCCTAGGAACAAAGCAGTATATACAAGTGGGGTGACAGAGGCACAACTTGGACAAGGATAGGCAGTAGGTGTGCAATATTGGCAGTTATAAATGCAATGTCTTATTATTATTTTTTTGGAATAATTAATCCCTTCTCCCCACGGCACACCCCCACCCCCACCCCGCAAGGTGGTAGATGAATTAGCCAGATATGAAAGCAGGAGCCCAGGCAGAGTGGTAGCTTTGAAGTTCTTGTTGGAACTTTGCCTGCAGTATAGTAAATTGTGGTGACAGGGGAGGAGGAAACTGGAAGCATGAGTCTCACCTTGCCAAATTTTGCCAAAGTGGTCAGTCTGAGGGTAATACCCCACAGGGAGGAAAGCGCATAATTGGAAGACTACACTTGGTGCACAACTGATTATTTCTAGCACTAGGAAAGATCTGTGGTGCTTAGGTATAGTTTACTTAAATGTTTCTCTTAACTAAAATTGTCTCTGGGGTCATTTCCACATTTGGGTCTGGTCCAGTTTTGCACACTGTCCCCATGGTGTCTGCATCGAAGTGCTATTTTCCTAATTAATCCACAGAACATTCAGTAAGTGGGAAAATCCCACAGAAATAGGGGGGGAAAGGGTGTCATTTTGATGAGGGACAGTGTTATATGGATGCTGCAAAAACACACACACACAAAAACGTTTCATGCATGAGTCGCACCCGAGCTGTCAATAAACTGCCAGGTTGAAGCCCACTCCCCTTGGTTATTTAGCAAGTTATGATGCAGAATGCACACTTTCCGACTTTTTTATTTTTTTCTATACACAACTAGAAGCCTCCTTTAAGGGTGGGAAATGACTTATACAAAATCCGAGAGACTGTACACTTTTGTGGCGTGTGCTTTAATGAAATGGAAAGGCATGTCACAGGCGTACAACCCTTCCTCCCCCCCCCCCACCAATTGAGGCATGCCACAGCCTTGGGGCCTTGTCGCAGCTGTTAATCCAGCTTGTGATATGCATTTCACTTCTGCAAAGAGACATGCCAGGAAATACTGCAGCTCTAATTGCACAGTGTTAGAGTGCATGGAACATATTATATTTATTGGGTTATAGTTCTTCCTTGATATTAATAGTCAAAAACAGGGCTGACAAATGGAGGCAAGCGCTGAGATAATAAAACCTCTTACTAGTATTGACGCCATCCTGCTGACTGCCACAGTGCTTTTCCAGGAACACGTAACAGCTCAATTCAGCTAGCCCCAGAATTCATCACTTGTTGAGGAATAATAATAATAATAATAATAATAATAGGATACTGTAGAAAACATGATTGTGCTTATTGTCTTTTATTCAAGCTAGAGCCTTGTCTCTCATGTGTAGGGTTGTTGTTGTTTAGTCGTTTAGTTGTGTCCGACTCTTCGTGACCCCCTGGACCAGAGCACGCCAGGCACTCCTGTCTCCCACTGCCTCCTGCAGTTTCGTCAAACTCATGTTGGTAGCTTCGAGAACACTGTCCAACCATCTCATTTTTATAGCAGGGCCATTGTGTTTTCCCTGGTCTGAGTCTACCCACCAACATTTCCATATCACCCCATGTTTTCTTACCCTTCATCCATTTCCCACTCAGTTACCGTTTCATAGCCTATTTGCACTCCCTGCCTTACTCATGAGGTTTTCTTTTTTAAATGGTCATAGATTCATGGACTGCCTAAAACAAGTATTTTGTTGTCTTCATTTCCTCATCTGTGTTGGGTGATAATATAGTGACCTAGCTCTCAGGAGCTTTAGAAGGAGAAACAAGGTTTTGTGTTTGTTTGTTTTTGTTGTTGTTTTTTAAAAAAGGAGATGGCCAACTTGGTTTGGGAATGGATTTTTTCTTTTACAGATTTTTTACCGTTTAGATTTTTCTCTTTTCTTGCTGTGAGGAAGCAGGATAGGGAATTGAGGTACAGGGATGGAATAACAAATGGTATGATGAGGTCCTGTTAGACTTGCATCAGGAAGGACTGGATTCCAGTATGAATTTTGCTCATGGTTTGGCCTTGGGCAAATCTCTTGCCTTGGTTCCCCATGGGTAGATGAAGATAATAGTTGCCTTGGTAGATCAGGCTATGACAGTATTTTGTTTTTGACGGTGGCTACTCAAATGCCTCCTACAAGGAAGGCACAATGGTGGAGGTTGAAATATTACAAACAGGCAGATCTTTCATTTATCTGCTATGGCTAATGGCCATGGATAAACATACCCTCCATAAATTTGTCTAATAATTTTTCAGCAGCTGCCTACATTTTTAAAAAAATCTACAATCACATTGTGTAGTCATGAATTACGTGTAAATTATGAGCTGCATGAAGTAATAGCTCTTTTTGTCAGACCTAAAGTTCTCAGTCCACCTTCATTGGGTAGTTTGGGTAGTATAAGTCAGGGAGAAGATTTTCATTCACAATATTCATGCCCCTTGTTTTCCTCTGGAAGCTGGAAAACTTCACTAGGGAAAATGCTCCCACTCCGTGATTATTTTAGTTGACCTTTTCCATATTTATTGCAGCCATTTTGAGATTGGAATAATCTAGTGATGGAGTGTTTTAAGGCTAAAACTGTTGAAGATTTGGAGGCAATTGTTAAACATCATTTCATGTCATCTTTTCATTGTTGTATCTCATTTTCTTACTTGTTTATTTTAGTAAGCAGTATTTAGTATTTGTACAGAACAGCAGCCTATAAAAGTTTAAAGAGAAAGCACACAAGCACACACACAGAGGTCAATTTAGGAGGTTTCTGCTGACAGGGACAACCTTCCTATTTTTTTGATGCATTTTATGTGATGTATATATTATTCAGAGGCCTCTAATATGTGGTCAATATCAGTCTCTGATTGGTGATTGGTATCGTTACTCTTGTCTGTAAAATCAGCCCAGTATTGATTGATTGATTGATTGCTTGATTTCAACATATTCACTGCCCTATACCTGGAGGTCTCAGGGCGGTTCACAACAAGACGGCAACATATAAAATCAAACCCAAAGCAGTAACCCAGTAACTCCCCTCCCAAGCCACATTCTAAAAGGGTTTTGGATGTCAATAAGATCAACCAAGAGGTAAAGTTAAAGGGACCCCTGACCATTAGGTCCAGTCGTGGCCGACTCTGGGGTTGCGGCGCTCATCTTGCTTTATTGGCCGAGGAAGCCGGTCTACAGCTTCCGGGTCATGTGGCCAGCATGACTAAGCCGCTTCTGGTGAACCAGAGCAGCTCACGGAAACACCATTTACCTTCCCACTGGAGTGGTACCTATTTATCTACTTGCACTTTGATGTGCTTTCGAACTGTTAAGTTGGCAGGAGCAGGGACTGAGCAACGGGAGCTCACCAAAGGCCTGGTTACAAAGGAACGCTTTTGTCTGGCGCCTAAAGGTGTATAATGAAGGCGCCAGGCGAACCTCCCTGGGGAGAGCATTCCATAGATGGGAAGCCACTGCAGAGAAGGCCCGTTCTTGTGTTGTCACCCTCCGGACCTCTCAAGGAGGAGGCACATGAAGAAGGGCCTCAGATGATGAACACAGAGTCTGAGTCAGTTTATATGGGAAGAGGCGGTCCTTGAGATATTGCAGTCCATTGTAATAAGGCTTGCATTCTTAGGGCCAAACACACAGTTCCTACACTGTTGTTTATTGTGAATACAGGGGGGCAGTTTGCAGAGGAGAATTGGTGGGTGCAGGAATGGGTCAGCAGCCCATTCAGGCTCACTGGTTACCATCTGTATTAGAGACATGGAGGCAAGGGAATTCCACCCTTGCCTCATAATGTATAGTTCCACCCTTACTGACATTGTTGGGAGCTCATACAGAGATGAATACTTAGACAAATGACTGCATTCTCCTTTGTGGGTGCACGGTTTTATAAAGAGAGGAGAGTTTTCCAGGTTGCAACTTGACAAACTCATTCATTTGCTTAAAAAGAAGATACAGTGGTACCTCGGGTTACATACGCTTCAGGTTACATACGCTTCAGGATACAGACTCCGCTAACCCAGAAATAGCACCTCGGGTGAAGAACTTTGCTTCAGGATGAGAACAGAAATTGCGTGGCGGCGGCATGGCAGCAGCGGGAGGCCTCATTAGCTAAAGTGGTGCTTCAGGTTAAGAACAGTTTCAGGTTAAGAATGAATCTCTGGAACGAATTAAGTACGTAACCAGAGGTACCACTGTAATGGGTGGGTGTGGGCATTGTACAACTATATCAGTTCATCTGTGTTGGAGGAAATCACAGATAGGGAAATGCCACTAACTCTCTCCAAACCTATATATAAAAAAACTTCATAGAGTTAAAATTGACGGAGAGAAATAATGTTTCATTCAGCGCGCAAGTCACCACATTTTTCGTTATTTTGCAAAAGATAGTAGCATAAATGGATTCAGAAGAGGATCGTATTAAATTAATGAAGCACAGGTCCATCAATACTGATCAGCTGAGATGCATTAACTGTTAACATGGGGATGCATCTCTGTTCTTAAGGTGTCTCCACTCACCAGTTCTCTATTTTCTGGAAACTGAGAGCAACCTACGGGAGGCGCATTGACTTGTAATTGTTTAATGGCTTCTTGAGTGTTGCCAGCCTGATTCCCAGGCTCATGCTGAGAAGCAGCCCTGAGAAAGTGGCTCATCATGGAATTAAGCGTAAGATTGCAGCTTTTCATGCCCCTGCATGATGACCCATATCTGCGCAATTGCAAAACTACAAAGACACAGGAGCTTTGACTTACCGTATTTTTTGCTCTATAAGACTCACTTTTTCCCTCCTAAAAAGCAAGGGGAAGTGTGTGTGCGTCTTATGGAGTGAATGCAGGCTGCACAGCTATCCCAGAAGCCAGAACAGCAAGAGGGATTGCTGCTTTCACTGCGTAGCAATCCCTCTTGCTGTTCTGGCTTCTGAGATTCAGAATATTTTTTTTCTTGTTTTCCTCCTCCAAAAACTAGGTGCGTCTTGTGGTCTGGTGCGTCTTATAGAGCGAA